GATAAGCTGACGGGGAAGCTGGAGAGATTAACCGATCGATCAATAGATTGATGAGAGGCAGAAGGAGACAGTTTGAAGGAAACCAGAAGCTGCTCGGACGGATGAGTGAGAAACAAACCTGACAGCGATGACATCACCGGGAGGTAAACTAATCAATTCATTCATTCTCTGAAAGAGTTAGTAATGTATTAACATTGATACGCAGATTTAATTATGGTGCACAACCGTGTTTAACATGCTGCAGTCAATCAATACTCAGGTGAGTTAATATTATGAGGTGTAGTTTACATATTTGTTGCAAACTACACCTCAACCATCCCCATCTTCTCTTCCATTTTTTTCTCTCTCCCTCCCTCCAACTCACCGCTGGGAAATACAGGAGGATGTGACCCATTTAAAAAGCAGCAGGTGCGCACACACACACACACACACACACACACATACACACACACACACACACACACACACACACACACACACACACACACACACACACACACACACACACACACACACACACGTTGGCACCAAGGAATGATGGGGAAGGGGATTATACTCTCAGACTGGGCCATGCCGACACATTCCCCAGAGGACACACACCAGCCGTGGGTGGTGTTTCTGTTTGCTGCCAGCCTCCCCTCTGCCTGTGGAGATAATAAACCTCCCCTCAACGAACCAACCAGCCAGGTGCACGTCCGACATATAAAGAGTCCGTGTGATGAATGGGTCTGGTTGCCGTGGTAATCTAGTCATCAGTGAAAAATAAAGTATCCTCCTATGTGGAGTAGTAGGTCGGTAGTCAGAAGCTGGAAAAAGCTTTTGTTTTACTTTCCAGGGGAAAAACATTCACATCTATTACAGACAAAATGTTCTGTAAGTAAATTACATTGGGTCTGATCATAAGGCTCGATTTGAAAAGAGAATAATTTGAAAATAAAGAAAACAAAACCATTCAAACATTTACCTCAAACAAAGACTTTGTATTCTTTGTTCACCGTGGAGAGTTAAAATGAAAGAACATGTATGCCATGAGGCGTTTTGCGTGATGAGAACATGTATGCCATGAGGCGTTTTGCGTGATGAGAACATGTATGCCATGAGGAGTTTTGCGTGATGAGAACATATATGCCATGAGGCGTTTTGCGTGATGAGAACGTGTATGCCATGAGGCGTTTTGCGTGATGAGAACATGTATGCCATGAGGCGTTTTGCGTGATGAGAACATGTATGCCATGAGGCGTTTTGCGTGATGAGAACATGTATGCCATGAGGCGTTTTGCGTGATGAGAACATGTATGCCATGAGGCGTTTTGCGTGATGAGAACATGTATGCCATGAGGTGTTTTGCGTGATGAGAACATGTATGCCATGAGGTGTTTTGCGTGATGAGAACATGTATGCCATGAGGTGGTTTGCGTGATGAGAACATGTATGCCATGAGGTGGTTTGTTTGATGAGAACGTTTATGCAATGAGGTGGTTTGCGTGATGAGAACATGTATGCGAAGACGTGGTTTGCGTGATGAGAACATGTATGCCATGAGGTGGTTTGTTTGATGAGAACATGTATGCCATGGGGTGGTTTGCGTGATGAGAACATGTATGCCATGAGGTGGTTTGCTTGATGAGAACATGTATGCCATGAGGTGGTTTGCTTGATGAGAACATGTATGCTATGAGGTGGTTTGTTTGATGAGAACATGTATGTGATGAGGTGCATTGAACGTACCTGGATCTCTCTGGTCCCCGTAAACATCTCCTTCAAGCCGCTGAACACCATGCGCACCAGGTAATGAGACGCATCCCATACGTGCTCCTGGACATACAACACATTAAGATTAGGCCTCTGTATTCTCCTCACACACACAAGCGGTTTGTGCTCCGCCTCATTTGTCAATAAAACAAACTAGAAATTGTGTTTTTTTTCCACTTAGTTATAATTAGGAATTAAATGCAAGAGGCAAAGTGATAAAAGTGGCAGCGCTGAATGAGCGTGGTACGTTCCTCGTACGCTCACAGTGATACGATCTCCTCCTGTGATGGAGCAGCCTCGTCCTTCCCCCTGTAATCACTCACAATTACACTCCTCCCCCCTAATTCCCTGTTTAAACAATTAGGGACATTATGCAGAAGTCATTTAGCACAATCCTCCGGCTGTGAGCTGCTGGATACACTGACAGCAGGATCATGCCGATCACATCTATACGGACAAGGAGATTAAATCCAGCTATGGTGAGGGAGTATATAGCGATGAGCACTACAGCGCTGTGCCAAGATTAATTGGCTCCACCCCGCCGCCGCGGTGTCGTTTGACACAAAGGGTGGATCCGTTTACAACTAAATCAAAGTGCAATGGTTCCGAGCTAAAGATAGATTCATAATGACTGTGCACAGGATATCAAATACATCTGTTGATGCGTTACACTGCCGGCCCTCCCCGATAAAGCAATGAGATATCTCACTCCACCGCAATGAGTATTAGGGCAACTGAAAGAAACTTTAAAAAAGGCCCTGGCATGCTTCGATGCGTCACAAACGCCGCACCTTTGGGAAGTCTTCGATCTCCTTCAGCCGCTTCTCGATCTGGAGGCGCCCCCCGTAGCGCGTGACGCCGTACACGACGGTCATCACGGTCTGCTTCACCACCTTCCTGCTGATGAAGCCCTCCAGGACCTGAGCGATCTTCATGCCGCTCTGTGCGTCCCGCACCCGGAACTCCTCCACCTGAAACACGAGACGTTCAGCCCGCTGAAGCCGTTTCATTTTGATCGGCTAGGAATTCTGTGGATAATGATTTTCTTTTTCAAAAATAATAACTGCACTGTAAACGCTGATGATGTAATCAAAAAGGGTTTGAGATCTAGATTGAAAATGGCACTACGGATCAGAGGAAGAAATATGTATTCTATGTATAAACAGAATTCATTAAATTCATTTATTTAACTCCCACCTCCGAAAAAAAAAGAGAAACAACGTCCGCATCGGCCGACCAATACATCACAGCTCCATGAATCCCAAAGTGAAGCCACCAATCGTCAAAAACAGCTGTTTTGTTGTGCAAGTTTGAATCAGTAAAGTTTTGGCCTAAAAATGAGCCACTACCAGTTTCTGTTGATCCACTGAACAGATCTACAAGATTTAACATCGTCTCCAGCAGGCCACATATTATCATGGTATTATATGAGAGTTAATAATACAATAATTGAAATATAACAGATGTATTGTGTCCTGCAGAGCTTGTGTTTATCTGCACACCTGCCTCCGGTCCCACTGCCCTTTGATGCAATGCACGGGGATCAAACGACTTTTAAATGCAAGACCTACAGTAAGAAACGTATCCCAGCCCCGGAATCCCAGTTCTGCCGTGCGGTAGGAATAAAAAAAACAACCCCAAACCCCCCGTGCAAAATACAATAAAAACAGCCCTGTGGTGCCGACCTGCTGTGCTACGCCGCTGTACACGTCCTGTGGCATCTCGCAGGGCATCAGGTTGACCGACGTGGCCCCGATAACGTCTCTGCCCAAAGCGGCGTAGTGCTGGAGGCCGTTACAGGAGCCGTCCTGCAGGAGAGGCAGAGGCAACACGGGTCAACGGGACAAAAGAACAGATGATTTAAAGAACGTGTGAATGAAAAACAAATCATCTAGATTTTAATTAATTTCCAAATCCCACATCCTACGGTGGACTTTGAACTTAATGCTATTAAATAAAATATTAAAATCAGGTGATCCTAATTAACTGATGGTGAATTATTTGATAGGTCATTTCTCATTGCACTTTATTTAATTGTGTCTCAATTACAAGGAGAACTGCTTTAAGCCGTCCACCGGACTCACTAAATGGGATCAGCTGGATCCGCACCGGTAAGCAGCATCGGCTCACAAGGCGAAATGAAAAAGCCTATTAGGAATATTGCAGTGAAGTTGGGAACGTTCCTGCCGGCAGTAAGAACTATTTTCCCTTTTCATTGCAGTTAAAACATGACCTCTGACCCGAGTGTCTCGCTGCATCCTTCCCTCCCTTTTCCCTCTATGACCCTCACGCAGAAGCTGCAGCATCTGTGGCGTGTGGAGGAGCAACGGGCCGCCGCCGCGCTTTAAGCGCTCAGATTAAAAGTCAAGTCAGTAGGTTTAAAAGTTAGTTTTCACCGCATCATGTGTCCGCAGCAGACCCAACATGATTTGCATAACACCATGCAACTCTAAACTAAAAAAATAAAAAATAAAATGTATTTAGTACCTGATGAACAGGAAAATTGGAGATGAAGTTGGTGGGGTCGGGGGATCTCACGGCGTTGGCTATCTCCATGCAGCAGCCCAGAGCCTGCCACGGCTCGTCTGCATTCATCCACCACTTGTTCCCCTGAGGAAGACACACACCAGCAAACGGAACGTTACATTTTTACACAAACGGTCCCGGGAATATACGTCTGCCGCGTTTGGACTGAGCGGGGAGAAAGAGCCACGAGGGACTGACGTTGAGCGGGTTGTCCGCCGAGTCCAACACGTCCTCCATGATGGAGTTGGCGTACTCCAGCCGGCCCTCCAGCGAGCTCCTCTTCTTCAGCCCCGTCAGATTGACCAAGTGGATCTTCAGCCAGTCCAGCCCCTTCGGGCCGAGGGGCTTCCCCTCCGCAAACAGAAGGAGGGCCCGCGTGACGTCGCTTCCGAGGTGGTTGAAGTACGGCGGGCAGGGGTAGGTGCGCCCCCGGAAGTCCATGTTGTGAGGGAACCAGAAGATCTCGTCCCGCATGTGGTTGGCGATGGAGAGCTTGTAGAGAGCGTCCATGCGCAGGCTGTGCATCTCGCTGCATTTCTTCTTGGCGTTGATAACGTCCCTCTTCATGTGAGCCTTCTCGGCGGAGGTGTAAGCCGGATCCTGGGCGTTGAAGTGGGGGATTTTGGGGGCCTCCGACAGAGGGGGAGGGATGTCCAGCTTGTCGCTGCCCCGATCGTTGAAGATGGAGATGATAATGTCCAACAAGGGTTTGTTGATACTCCAGGCACAGTTGCCCAGCTGGTTGAGGGAGTCCAGGACGGGGAGAAGGTTCTGGCATTTCTCCAGCAGCACCTCGTGCTGCGTGGCCCCTTCCACCGTGCGCATCAGCTTGCTCGGCGTCAGCAGGTAGGCCCCAAACTTGACAGACGTCCAGGGCACGGGGGGGCAGAGCATCGGCATCACGTAGGAGTCAAAGGTCAACTTGCTCTCCATGGCGTCCTGCTGCATCTGAATCAGGATGGGGTGGGGTTTGATGAATCCCACCTGGAGGGCAGAAACGAGCAGATTACTGCAGAACAGAACGAAAAATCTGATCTGATTCAGGGAAGTTTAAAGAGCCGAGTACCCAAATATTATTCATCATTCACACAACTGGTCAACGGTTAATGTCAGAAAGCAAACATCTACAAAAGGAGCATGAGAGCAAACTGAAGATGCCTAAAAAAGGGAAGCACCAATCAGACGTCCTGACATCGATAGCCGGGCTTTTGGGTTTCGGCCAATCCCGAGTACCGATCCGAAGCCTGTGTTTAATTAATGAGCCGCAGTGTGGAAGTGACTGCGTTATTCTTTATGCAACATTAGACTTCACTGGAAAAAAGTAACCAATTAATAACAAATATTAGACTCTAACCGGGGCGGCAGAACGGAGGTGAGTCTTTGATGTGACGGGAACGTAAAGATCCATCAAATGAATAAATACAGAAGCCTGAAAATAAAAAACACCTCAGCAGCGCTCGCATGAGTCAGACTGTCATGCTGAGCGGTAAAATCATTAGGATGCCCCCCTGTTGGGCTAACCTCCAAAGACAGAACGACAGGGAAGGGGGTTCTGTCAAAGTGCATTAAGTCCAATAAGCCCACGATCCCCCCTCTCCTCCCCCCCCCCCCTCCACCTCTTGCCCTCTCCCTCCCGGGGGAGGGAACCACAACGAGCCCATTAAGGCGACACCAGAAAAGGGATTAGCCCGGCAACCTATTCAACTCTTCCCCCTCGGCCGATTCACTCAAGGGGAGTGTGGGGGGCAGCTTTAGAATTTAGAACTCTTGTGGGTGTTCACAGCAGATTGGCCGGTGCTCAGGTGCACGAGGCGAATGGCCTTTCAGGGGAGGGAGGGGTTGAGGGTTCTCAGGTCTTTCCTAAGTTTCTGCTGCACTACTTTTCTGCTTTCCACATTAAGGAAAATGATTGCGCAACAACTGTATCTGATTAACCTGATTCAGGCTAATTGTGCCCAATTTCCAAAAGGTCAAAATGAACATAATGGTTTTAACTGATGGAAGGATCTCATAATTCTCATCATTTTTTTTTGCGCGGCCGCCGTACCTGCCGCGTGTTACGGAAGGTGTACATGTGGTAGAGGATGGGGATGAGCTTCCTCTCGAAGGCCGGGTTCAGCACGTCGCTGTTCATCTTCAGGTTCTTCACCATCATATCCACCATGTAGATGCCCAGCTCCACGGAGACGATGTAGGGCCAGTGGGTCTCTCCTCCCTGCAGCGAGGGTCCCGAGCTCTGCTCCCTCTCCAGCCGGCCCCAATACTCGCTGGGCAGGACGATGCACTCCTACAGGCAGCCCAATGGAAGCAGGTTGGTTTTCATTTCAGAGTGAGGTCAGCGTGCGTGAGGAGAGTTTTGATATTCAGACTTAAAATAACTTGTCAAACGTTGCACTGTTTTTTGAGATTTAATCTAAAGATAGCGCCCATGTTTCAAGAAATATGATGAATACTGGCGGCATTTATTTAAATGTCGTCCGAAAGCAAGAACACCCAGCTAGGGAGCAAGAACGAGACGATCCAAGAGGATAAAAAGGGGATTTGGTCCGGACACGAGGAAGGAAGAAGTCGATTGTTCGGCGTCATAATAACTACAACAAAAACACAATAAACAATAGGCTTTGTTTTAAGGACAAAGCCTGCTTGTAAACAAACAAGCTTTGACTAACTTCTGGTGTAACCAGTGTGATGAGCTGCTGCGTATTACGGTCTTGATGACATTAGCAAGTTTAGATGCTTTAAAGAAATTTTAATACGGCTGGATGAAATCCGGCGTTCTGATTGGTTCGCGAGTCACAGGGGTTACATTATTGAGCGATAACGTACAGTTGCAGTTAACGTTGACGGTTTCGGGCAACGCGAGCTTTCGCAACCAGACAATTAAGGTGGACGTCATCAGCGATGTGATTGAATGAGATGGTGCGAGATCTCGCAAGGAGACCCGATGCCGTTTACTTGACAGGGACTATTTTACTCTGGACTACAGAAATGAGATACACAACGTTTGGTGGCAAATACTATTTTTTGCTGAACATTATTGGACAATAAAGTACAGCCTCTCGTACCTTATTGCTTAAATAAGTTAGAACTAAGGAAAACTTTGGGAAGCGCTAGATTTAATATGCATTTTACACTTGCTCAAGTATTATAAATGTAATCCTGTTATTTTAAGTGTAGACCGTAGATATCGTGATCAAAACTAATATTCCATTATTAACCCCCCAAAAAGATAACGTTTTCGTCCTGCCAATTATCTAGTGCGATGCACCAGAGCGCCGGCAAACGCAATCTTGCTGAGAGTAACTAACAGGAGGGTTTCCCCACATACAAAGTACCTTCACAAGAAGACACGTGGAGCGAGATGATTCCTCGTGTTACCTTCGTGTCTTTGGCCAGCAGGTCCGTGTACGCGTTGTAGATATTCCGCAACTTTTCCACCACCTGGTTCTGTTGCTTCTGCTGCACACAGTACTTGGTGTAGACGCGGTGGCCCAGATCCCTGCCCAAGATCTTCAGCGACTCCCCGCTGGGAGGCAGACTGGCAACGCTCTGAAGAGGAGGACACGAGCGGAGAAAGGTCAAGCGGCAGAGAATACCGTCACGAGCAGCATTCGGTCGAAGCCGGATGCGTCTGCCGCTTGTGTTTGGTGGTTTTACAGACTTTGCAAGGTGGCAGTGTGGAAAAAAAACACAACAACAAATATTTTCTGCAATGTTGCAGTGAAGCTAAGCAGACATCCATCAAATGCCTTTGACTCAAACTTTGCGACTCCTGGCCGGCCGGGTCAGGCGGTTTGTGTTACCTGGATCATGATGTCGACGTACTCGCGATCCTCCAGCACACAGAGGTAGGGATAAAGGTTGAGCCTGTAGTCCTTGGTGTTGGTGTTAGCCAGGATCATCTTACTCTCCCTCAGGGCCTGCAGGAGGATCTTCTGCCACTGTGCCCGGTGATCCGCCAGCAGCTTCCTCTGAAAGGACAACACAGCTGATCTCATGGAGGCGACTGCCAGCAGGAAACCCTCAGAAGACGTGTCAAACGAAAATCCCGCGGCGATGCTCGTTTATCCCCCGCCGCATGAACCCGATGGAACGGCATTTAAAGCTTGCTGTGAGGGGTCAGCATTGTTTGATATGATACGATACTGGTATGAAGCTAGAGCAGGTTAGCTTCGCACAAAAACTGGCAAATAGCAAGCCAGGTTTGCCCCCAACGTCTGCCTTCCAGCCCAATAATTAACATTTAATATCTTATTTGTTTAACCTGTAAAACAGACAAACTGTTAAAACAGCGGGTTGCGGTTTTGGGGGGGGGCTTACAGAAATTAGCTCAAAATTAGTATTTAAAGCTAATTTCTGTTTTTCTTGAAGAGACTAAATAATGCATATAATTGCAATGTATTTCAAGTACTTTCTGTATTTTTTAAAACCCCAAAAATTCTTTTGCGTCTTCAAAACCAGTCTTAATTGTTCTCTCTGTGCGCTCCCTTTGGATGTAATTTAAATGTACAGGAAGCCAGAACAATAAACAATTATTATCTTCGGTGCACTTGAATCACATTCTATGCCCTGCATAGAGAACGGACGCCAAAGGAGCCTCCGTAGATGCTTAGGCAGTTTTTTTGTTCATGCATGTGCGTGGCAAAACGTGCATTTTGTGCACGACTCCCACATAACAAATGCGTCATTATTCTGCCCTGCCTGCCTGTGTGTAAATGCTTCCCGACCACACGGGACTCTCCGCCCGACCGCTCGCTTCCCCCCGTCGCCCGCCTGCAGAGGCGGGCGAGCCAGTCTGGAATGTAAATGCCAGAGCTGGAAAAAATAAAATAACGGCACGCCACAGGAATGTGTTCCTTACTCCAAGTCCCGTCTACGTGCACATCATTTAAAAGTTTATAAAAAAAGGAGGAACTTCATTTGTAGGAAACAACTGGTAATAAATAAATGCAATTCGATACATCATCTAACAATAATAAATTGATGTGATTTTTTAACCGCCAAGATAAACCCTACGTTTGTACTGTGAGGCAGAATGTCGGATTATGGAGGATTGTTTGCGGATTAAAGAGACGGAAATACAGCACAAATGAAGCTACGTGTTTTTTTATCAAATGGGAGGCGACAAAGTTTTGAAGGTTTATCTTCTACTTTAAAAAACATCGCATCAGCAACAACATTCCTGTAGATAAAGGTGGACCAATTATTTCTACTAATCCCACAAGAAGGAATCAAAATACCAAACGCTGTGCCTCCAAAATATTTTAGGGTTTGATATGGATTTCGTAGGAACAAACCAGCATTGGCAGCCTTCTATGAATCTGGTGCATTGAGAGCGTGATGGCGGTGAGAAGAAGAGGCAGAGACAGGTGGGTCCTTTTACCATTTTAGCCATGTGATCGGTCACGGGCTTGGCAGCCTCCACAGAGTCGATGGTGACGGTGCAGTCTTCTTCCAGGCGGAGCTGCTGTCTGAAACGCTCCTGAAGCTCCTCCTGGGTGAAGTCCAGTTTGGGGTACTGGTGGTCTGCCCTCTAAAAGCGCGCACACACACACACACACACACACACGCACACACACAGGAATTATTATGATTTCACACCAATGAAAACGTAGTAACCGAGCTCTCTCCCTTTCTGACTGTCAAATCAAACCCACACTGGACCTTTAAAGAGCTTCCTTTCCTTGTGCTTGGTTGACGGACCGACGCTGAGCTCACTTTTAAACACCTCGAACCACTTAGAGCCTCGACGTTGGCTGGACTTTGCCTGAGAGGATTAATTCGGGGCAAAAGTAAAGAGTTTATAGTTTATAAAACTATTTAAGGCTGCCGCCAGGAGAGCGTTTCCATCCCACAAGTGCTGGCTCGGGATTCCTAGAGTAAATAAAGAGTTTGTTGTTCAGCATTTATTACTTTTAAGTTTGGAACGGACACCTGATCGCATGTTAACATGCATGGATGGGGATTTTTGGAGTGCATGTTGCATTGTGGGAAATAACTGCCCACAAAAGCCAATATTGTTCGGCATCTCGGCTGGTTTATTATTCAGTAGATAATATGGTTGCTCCAGTGCTGCTAACAGATTTAGAATTCTGTTCATTTAAACTACAATTCCAATCGTTGTTATTGTTGCAACATTATTTGAATGCTTCGTAAAACCGAATAAAAACCAAAACGACTTCCGAATCCTTTCAGTGTCCGGCCCACAATGCATTGGGGCCGGTTCCCAGACGAACACGATGAATAATTTGATGGAACACCACACAATCTCTGGCACGTTGAAACGAACGCAAGATCAAACTGCATTTTGTACGAGCCTCATCGGCTTAATAAAAAAAAAAGCTCCATCTCACAAAAACAAACAACATTCTAATTAGATTGTGTGTTTGCCGGCGATCGGGAAAACCTCCGGAGAGCATCCGGTCTGCTCCCGTGTTATCTGGTGGACCAGTTATTTGGACAAGCCGTCCAGTCATTAAAACCAACCCGCCGGAAAGTCACAGTCGCATTAACCAGCCACCGTGGCAACCCGCGCATCTGACCCGCTGCACATTCCACCGTGTTTCACATACAGCGCCGAGATGAAAATACATGACCCGCTGACATCACACGCGCAGGTCCACAATAAGCAAAGGAGAGAGAAAACACGTCGCTCACACGGCGACCGAGGAGAAGGTGGCGACAGGACTGAGGCTAAAAATACGGCAATTAGACAAAAAGCTGTTAATGAATCATGGGAGAATCATCAGTGGAGAAGAGGATAAAAAAGGGGGGGCGAGGGGCGAGAGGAGGAAAGGCGAGGAAGACGAGGGACCCATTAGAAAGCAGAGTTGGCTCAGTATAAATAGGCCAGTGCTGTGAAGGGGTGACAATCAGAAGACATCTGAAGTCGTGCGTTATCGCTCTTTGACACAAGTCTATAATGCTTTTTGATCACATGGCAGCTTTTTAAAGCATGAAAAGGCTGATTACATCATACATCTGCAATCCACCCAGAATCTACATGCCTTTCATAACGGGGGGTCCCGGGCGCCCCGTTTGGTCTTGCAAATTCGCAATTTTAAGAAGAGGGACCGGCTCGCTTAAAGAGAAGCAAGAACAACGGAACTCTGTGTCGACGGCCTCGAGCGGTACCTGCGTGTAGAACTCCTGCACCAGCGACGGGCACTGCGCGGCTCTGGCGTGGAGGCGGGGCTTGTAGTCGGGCTGGACGAGGTGCACGGCCTTCAGCACCATGTCCCGCTCGTCCTGCCGAAACACACACTGGCTGAACAGGTCGTCCGCGGACAGGCCGTCCTCCTCCATCTGGCGCAGGCACCTGGACACACAGGGACGGACGGACGGTTGGCGCGCCGGGTCTTTTCGAGCAGAACAACAGGCCCAATGATTATTTCAAGGTTCTGAGGTACATTGAGTTCCTTTGAAATCGAAGCGCTGTTGCCTGGATACTTCCCCAAGACAAAACAAAACATGGAAAAAAATAAAATAATAGGAGGACCAAAGACTTCATTATGCTCTATTATCCGCTGCTGGTCCTGAGATCAGGGCTTTCCGCCTCCTACCCGCAAGACGGATTAAAACACAAGATTGAGTTCTCAATCAATCTATTGAGAAAGACACTTCACAGACAGTTACAGCGGCTCTGTTGACAAAAAAAGTGTCTCTGAATTTAAGGCAGTTTGATACATTATTGCAACATTTGTGTACTGTGTCTTGGGTCACATAGGAGCTGCAGAGTGTAAAACAAAGTAGAAATGTTATATATAAGTTTCCCAGAGAATCAGAGTTTGGAGTCTGATCACAGGTTCGGGGGTCTCGACCTCCTGACCCGCCTGTCGATGTGGGAATGACAGTGAGATAATCACATGACCTGCTGGGCTACTGTTTAATTCCGCTTTTAAAAAGCTCCCTCGTCAGTCCGTCGTGTATCTGTCGCCTTCCACAATCAACAGTTGCAGAATACTTGCGCTGACGTGTGGGGTGGAGGGTAGAAGGGGGGGTGGGGGGGTTCTGCATGAGGCAGATGGGCGCCGACGACATCAGCAAAATGTATATTCAGATGGAGTCTCTTCGTCTCCATGACCGGACTGCAGAAATGAGATAATAGCGGCGTGCAGCCGATCCCTGGAATTCAAATGAGAGGCGCAATAACACGATTATATTATAACTCAATTTGATATACGATACCTCAGAGGGACTTTGAATTAATATGTTCAGCCTGGTTGCGTCTTTATTCTTGTGTGATTAGTGATATTTGGGAGCTTCAATGAGAAATATCGGGCCCGTGTAAAGGTTCTATGGATTTGCTTATTATGAAACTAAGACGTATTCTTCTGGTCGAGCCAATGCAATGTTTTCATAATGACTGAATGCCGCTCTACTTGTGTCACCCACGGCGCCTCCCTCTCATACGCACTTTGGGACGCAACGCCCGACGGCGAGCCCGTGGCCGATGTTTGGTTGCACTGCTCCCCTGAGGTAAACAACCAAACTGCATGACGGAGCGGAGAGACAGAAACGAGGAAACCCCACCCGTCATCGAGCACGGAGAGAGCGCCGCTCCACCCTAAACACCACATGTGCACAACAGCGTGCTAATTGCCTCCTGGAGGATCGGCTGGGCAGCGACGATCAGGGCTCTGCACATTATTTAACGAATAGGACTGAGAAAGCCTCGCGTATGAAGCAGGTGCTTTATTTCTGAGGTGCGCTTCAGTTCTTTAGTGTTTTCACGCGTGACTCGGGAGCCTCGTGTGATGCTATGTGGGTCAGAGAAGATGAGAGAGCCTCCAACAAAGGAGGGGGGGGGGGATCAGTATCAGTCTGGGTGCCGGCACCGTGGTCCAGAGGAACAAAGACAGCAAGGAGGCTGAAAAGGTGGGGCGTAATCAGCCCGGCGCCGCTGCACCCTCGGGGAGCAGAGCGCTCCGGAGGACGCAGCCCTCACAAAAGGGAGCAAGTCAGAGGGATGAGCGTGTGAGGGAGGGAGGGAGGAGAGGAACACGGAGGAGAAGGATGCTGCGAGGGAGACTCGTGAGCAGAGGGGGACATCGGGTGATGTTAGGAGAGGGCAGAAGGTCCGAGAACACACAAGGTTAGGGGGGCTTCAAACACACGGAGGAAAAAAGAGGTTGGGGAGGACGGAGGGAAGAGAGGCTGCCGGGGGGGGGGGGGGGGGGGCGGAGGTAAGCATCAGCTTACTGTGATCGATGGACCAACCCGATACCTGCCCGCAACCTCACAGCCCTGCACCCCCCTGTCCCGCTATTGGACCTCGCCGCATAGCGTGATGTCTACAGAGGCAAACTATTTGAGGAGCAGTTAAAAACAATAGATATAGACCTAGATATAGATATAGACATTAGTGATTGCAATTATTAGAATGAAAAATAAATAACAGTTAATTGGAATCAATTTGGACTCAACAGGAGATTCATGGATTTATATCAGATAATAAAATTGAAATGTAAGAGTTATATGCTCAGCCTGTACTTCATATACATAACTTCATGTCACATGCAGATAGAAATAAACCTTAATCAAGCAGAGAAATAAAATCCATATATTTGTGAAATAGATGGAAGGTGAAATGCACAACGTGGTGAGTTAGCGAGCTAACCCAACCCGAGCAGTCGCAGGGTCGCAGCGTTTTCCACACCACCTTCCTGCTCGCTCCTGATTGAACGCACGTATTGTAAGTCGCTTTGGATAAAATGTTAAATGGGAACGTAAAAGCTTTTGCAGTTAGAGAGTCCGCGTGTTTTCTTGAAATCACGGCATGAACGTGCTTGGTTCATCCGCTCATTTTAAAAGAAAATTCCATATTTATAAGTCCATAATTCTATATTTACTCTGGGCTGATTGGATCACACACTCACGCAGACAAACGCACACACGTAGTGTGCCCGGTCGGCGTACTGTTTGTCCTAAATATCATGCAATTAATCTGTGAGGGTCTGACACACAGTCAGTGAGATACAAACTTGATTAATAACACTTGATGGGGATTTTGTCACAATGACCCAGTTACCGCTGGCACACAACTGGGCTGCTGGTTGTCCTCGATGAAAACGAAAATTGCGAAAATTTGCAAAGGTTGTCTGAGCAACACAAAATAATCAAGTTCACCGCGGTGCACGAGGGCAGCGTTCTGTTGTCACCGAACCGTTTAATCAGCCGAAGCCGACCTAATTAACGGCATCAGCATGCCGCCACAACCAAAGGAAGTCTGGGTGGGTAAAAACTACAATAATTGTTAAAAAAAAAAAAAAAAAAACACCACGAAAAGACAGGAAGGAATTGAAGAAACAAAACCCTGTAGTGCTGGGTTGCCATGGAAACAATCAGCGATGAGAGAGAGGAGCAGCGAATGAAGTTCAGTCGATCCCATCGGCTCGATGCAGAAGAGATCACTGATACCGTGTGGCACTCAAAATATATCATGTGTTGATTTACTGTTGACAACTTCCAACTTATTTTAAACTGGACCACGATGGCAAAAAAGAAGCATTAGCCATCCCAGTTGAGCTCATACATCAGCAACAAGCATTCAGAAAGAAAGAAACGACAATAGAAAAGCTAAAAGACAAGTGGTTTCAGTAACTTCAGTAACTTGAGGATAAGGGTGGGAAAAGTCAATCATTAAATTAATAAAAAAACATTAATGAAGCCTATAAAAGGCAAAGAAAACTACACGCTGGTTCTTCTCAATACCATTAGTCTACACGGCCATCGGCTGCAGACACGGATAGTCATGGCTTCAGTCGTCAATAAATGGAATAGGTAAGATACTGTGCTGCTGGTTAGAGGATGCTAAACCATTAGCACAGTATGACCCCTGCTGGCGCGTTGCTGAATTACAACTAGTCTCCTTACAAATGTGAAATCTCTGTCGCGTTCAAATTAAATGCTTATTATAACAAACACGGCTCATCATGAGTCTTGCTCGTGTGTGTGTGTGTGTACCTTGTGATGAGCTTTGGCTGGCAGCCGGGATTACGGCCCATACACTCCAGGGCGGTACAGTAGGACCCCAGATTTGGCTTCAGACCTGCCTCTTCTAACAGAATAAATATGCGGCCGATCTGATTCAACGTTCCCTGCGAACAGAGAGAGAGAGATGCGGCAGGACCGTAAGTCTTTGCTTCCACATAGTCTTTGAAAAGCAAGTACACGAGTGGCATCGTGAGGACGTTCGCATGCAACAACGCGCGGTTCACCGGCCAGTTGAACCACGCGGCCCAATAAATCGGTTTTGAACAACAAATGCCAGCTCCGCCCCATCTTGAAACCCAGGGACTCACCTTCTTGGCCCACACCCTCATCATGATGTTGTAGAAGTCCGTGTTGAGCAGCTTACGTCGACTCCTCACCCGGTGCTGGCTCAGGAGGAAGCTGTGCGCCCGCTCCACGTCCCCGGCGAACACGCAGGCCTCCAGGTAAGAGCGGATGCTCAGCTGGACGTCGCCGCACGCTGCCGCCGCCACCTCGACGTCCTCCTCCTCCTCCTCCGGCCGCTGCGGGTTGCTCGACAGCGTCCACCGGCTCCCCTGCTGATCGAGGCTCTTCTCCATCTCCTCGGCCGGCTCCTTGGCTTCGGTCTGCCTCTTGCCCTCTTTGACGGGTCCCTGCTTTTTGGAGGCCTTCTGTTTCCCTTTGGGACCCTTATGCACCGTGGCGGCGGCGGCGGTGGTCCCCACCTCTGTTGAAGAAACCGCGGCCCGTATCTCGTCGGACAATTTCGTGCGAGCTCTGCCCTTAACCAACGGCGCGGCGCTGGATATTACTTTGTGAGAAGTCCCGGGCAGGGCCGAGCCGCTTTTGCTTCCTTTAGATTTGCCCGACGGTTTCTCCTTTACATTCTTTTGTATTTTCTGAGGGAGGCGCTCCTCTTTTGTGAGTTTGTTTTTCTTCTCCCGAGTTAATTTCTCCATCCAGCGGCTGGTCTTGGACTTAGACGCTGCTTTAAGTGTCTTGCCGGATTTAGGAATGTCAGTTTTCTCCTTGGGCGCGACTTTGGGGCCCTTACCGGACGAAACCCCTCTTCCGGAGGAAGGGGCTTTGACAAATTGCACGTTTGCATGATGGACGTCTAAAACGACGTCAGGCTGGAGTTGCTGGATTCTGGCTTTAAGCACTGAGAGAGAGAAAAAAATCCAATGTGAGTAAACAACGTTGCAGAATGAAGTCCTGGATTGAACAGGAAACAGATGCAGTTTGGCAGGCAGAATAAGGAGAACCATGACATCATGACTTAAGACGATGACGTACCGTCTAACAACTGAGACTGCTCCACGACACGTTTCTTAGCATCGTCTCTCTTTGGGATCATAAATGAAACTTTTCTTCTCTGAAGCCGCAGTGGTGTCTCTGAAAAAACAAATACACACACATTACATTGGAGTTACTAACAGGTAATCCGCCTTCTGGCCAGAAACCATTACTTCTACGATCACTTGCGCTACATGTTCCCTCCACACACACGATGGTCAATGCCGCTCAAGGACCAGGAGGGGTCGGGTACCGAACCTCTGCTCTGACCCCCCTCGACCACACGAGCTCCAGCCAACACTCAGGCTGAAATACGGTCAATGTCAGTGACATAAGACCGGATGCAAGAACATAGAAGGAGCCCTTAAGCGTCACGTTGGGGTCCACAAAGCATCCTCAGCCTGGACCCAGTAACAAAAAAAAGAAGAAAAAAAAAAAAAGAGTACCCTCACCGGATATTCGTCTGACCCCGCCGTCTCTGGTGGACACACACAGCGGACAGCGGTCCGCCGGAGACACGCGAACGGCGCACTTGTCAAACAAAGTGCGGCGACTCACGCATTTCGCAAAGGCACACACTCTGAGGAGCGACATGTTGACATCCAACAACCCGCGTTACTTCACAGCTCTAGGCGGCCATCTTGAATGAGACCGAGCTAGCCGAGAGGTGCAATCATCGAGGGGTTAAGGCGCGGCTAAGGGATTGCAGATACATCGAGCAGACGGGGATTTTGACGTTAACGATCGCTAATCACTCGTGATGCTGCGTATTGAGACGTCATTTTATCAGGTCAGATGGAGATGTTTGATTATTCTTGTGATTTCCTGTTATGTTTGTGGAGCCTGGAAATCTTAATGGGAATTCAAGAATGAAACATTACAAATCTGTAATGTATTCGGTATTTCAGTCTTTCTAATGGCTCCAGATAAAACACCTTCCCATCAATTGTACAAAATCATCATATTTCCCAACTTCAGGTCACCTTTATCATTTCTAATAAAATATGTAAAAAACATATATGGTCAAAAATGGGGCTTGCCACTTTTAGAAAATTAATAAATACAGATGGTAAACAATGATAAAAATGGCTCTAATTCTGCTATTGATGGTTTTATTAAAAGCAAGAAAAAAGCTCCCACTTCCAGCTCTTTGTTTTCTGATTTATTCTCTTTCTGTTTTGTTATTGACAAAGGTATCTTGTTTAGAGCCTTTTGGATCTTTTGTATGTATCTCCTGCCTTATATATATATCGGTATTTACAAAAAACAATTAGTTATCGCCACATTATATTTACATGTATTTACTGTAACTTTTCTTATTTTAAATGGAAGGTGACTTACATGTGGCCTACAGGTGGCAGTCTTGGCAAAGTCAAACAAAGTTGGACTAGAGGTCAACCAGGAGATCAAGGTGAAAACGAGTATCATGGTTTGTATCACAATTAGACATTTTGTATTTACATATGTGTTATTTTCAGCCCCTTTCAAATTGGATTCTCTGAGATGTTTTGCTAATACAAATGTATCATCATTGGTACAGTATAAAGTTTAGTATAGGAGAGAGTTATGTAAGGCAATAGGTTGAAACTCAGATCTATAAGCTTCTATCTAAATGTAAACGTGAAGTCCCTCTGTTGGAGCACAAATGTTCATCTATAGTCCCTAGGCAAGTTTTTACAAATTATTAGACTGAAGTTATCAATACAAAGCTTTAATAAGCACCGTGGTAACAAAACAATATGATATCTTACAATAAAATACATAAATGCATTGCAAATGTAATTGTGTAACGACAGTGCCGGAGGTGATAAGTGAGATCAGTTTGCACATTAAATTGGCTTTAATGTATCTCTGAATTTTATGTTTAACGGTTTGGTTCGTAAGCACAGAAGCAGCCGCTGAAATTTGGCAAAAAACCTGCATCATGGGTTGAATTTATTTCCTTTGCTTTAGTCTGATGGTACACGCTGGTAGTGCTCCCGTGCAACACGCACGCACACCGACCTCACCGCAGAACCTATTAAAGCCAATTGTAAATGATCGCCTTCCGCTTCTTTCGGACTTCTTGAAGTACGGTTTAAATCAAGCGTGACTCGGCTCCAAATTGAAAGTAAAACGAAACGTATCTCATTCACATCCTGTACACTCTGTGACCCCCCCCCAGCAGCCTCGGCCTCCCCCTGTCATGCATCCATAAAGCATTCTTAAACACTTTAGCGGCCCTTTGTGTCTCGGCCGACTGGAGGTTAACACAAGCGCTACTTGACGGTGAGGGGGGTGGAGGGGGGGGACCCGGCAGTACATCTTTTCTCAGCGGAGGCCGTGGCTGAGAGCGCAGCGGTAGGGCGTCTGCTGCTGAGCTGTAGGTGAGGATATCGCCGAGGTGTTTGTTGCCACGGTTCACGAGCGGGGGGCCCCCTTGACAGCCTCGTTTGATGTGGTCGGCCCCCGTCGGCGGCCGGCTCTTTGCGCTGGTGTGACAGTCATTGCCGGCTGAGTGACTGTCAATGCCTCGGCCGACAAAAGAGGAGAAGACAGGCATTCACGGGGCCTGATAATGGCCAGGCCGGGACAAGGCTGCCATTCTCACACACTTTGATCATGTGCGCTCTTTTGCACACCTTTGTGGGGGCCGCCTATTTGTTTAGCAGATGGAGAGTAGCGCTGCTTTTTGATGGAGATACTTCTCCGTGAGATGCCTGTGGTGGTAAAAGCCTTTGCCGCGTGCGTGTGTGTGTGTGTGTGTGTGTGTGTACGCACCACTTGCATGGAATTAGTGACCTGCGTAAAAAACAAAACCCTGCTTCTTGAGAAACATGTGTGTCACCCGAGGTCCTATTTACGGCTGTGCTTGAAAACTTCATCAAACTCTTTTTAAAATCACACTTTGGGGCTTAAGCTGACACACGCGTTTTTCCCCTCCGAGGCACTATATTATAAAACATAACTCATCACAGCACACACTTTGTGTCCATTACTGTCCATTACAGGGAGACAGACGTCAGAAGGACCCCTCGGGCTTCTGGTCGGGCCTTTACCGGACTGCTGTGACTCACTCAGCTCAGAGAGTCAATTACAATGTCTTACGATGTGTCATGCGCTACTTACAAGTGCATGTTAATGGAATCATTTGAAATAGTTGTGGAAGCTGCTTCAAACTTCAGTGACTCTATATCTCAACCTCAGCCAACAAAGCCAGTGGGGAGAGTGAAGAAACGCAGCGTCAGCAAAGATTTTCTCAAAGTGCTTTTCGTTCCCCCGTCCTGCAGGTCCTCTGTTATCAGCAGGGCACAGATGAGGAACTCTCAGAGCTCTCTACAGCATCAGATGGACAGAGCGGGACACGCCGAGGGCCGCCGCGTCCTAAGCGGGGGCCGAGTCCGGGGAGGGGGGGGGCGGTCTGGTCAGCTCTTTTATTTTGATCGCGTCCAGATGTTTGTCAGCCAACCGTCAAAGACATATTTCAAAGAATTGCATAATAGCTGAAATGACCCCTTCTGCTTCAGCGTCCACAGCGAGGAGAAAGTAGATTGTTGTGTTCATTTGAAAAAGCAAACGAGTTCCGAACCAGAAAGTCGGCGCTCTTTAAAAGCACGAGGTCGCGGCTGAGCTCAAACACGACCGCGAGAGACAAGGGGGAGAAAAAAGAGAGACAAGGACTCAGCAGGCGGGCAAAACAATTAATAATAGGGAGCTATTACTGAGGGACTGTCAGAGCCAGGAGGGAGGTTGGGTTTCAGGCCCTTTTGAAGACTTTGATGGTACAAAACAGGCCTCATTATGGAGATATTATCTCTATTCATACACTTACAGAGCCGCTTGGATTCCTGCTGGGAAAGATTAGGTTCCTCCACTTGAGAACATCCTCCTGCGTCCAGAGCGAAATGTCTCTTCAGCCGCGTGATGGATTAGGACGGATCTTCGCGGTCCTCTAATGACGACGTTGACCGCCTTGACTTTACTCCTCTGACCGGATCCCGTTGGTGGGCTTTGAGTGAAACGCGCAGAGCGTGTCGGACAGCTCGCCGTGGCGTTTTTTGGTCTCATGTTCCCCTGAGGTTGAATCCTCAATTCTTTGGTATCGGACCAAATACCCGTGAAACTAAATGACGCTGCCATCAGCAGCTGAGCTGCATTTTGAACACATGGTTTGTGTTGTTGAGTGAAACTAAGTAACCAAAAAAACAACATTAAACCCACATTTGTTTTTCCCATACATGAAATATATTTGGAAATGTGTTTCCAATATTTATACTAGCCGAGTATAAATACACAGTTTAAAAAATAATTGACTGTAGGGCCGTTTTTTATCTTTTTTTATATATGCATACATTATAGTACACTGGACACTGTGCCAATCCTCACTACTTGTTAAAAAGTACAAATCGGCAGAGTCGCGTCGTGAACATCAAAGACGCACACTGTAAAACAGCGGGCGATCGCACGTCATGACGTTTAACAAAGAGACACATTTTGCTCATGTCTTCTCTGGCACTGAGCTCAGAGCCCAAACATTTGTTTCCAGGACACCACAAAGCGACCGGCCGCCACATCTGACACTCACATGAGGCCGAGCTTTGTTATTGACCTCGCCAGAAGTCACGTTGAAGGATTGCAAGATTTTAATTACGGGAGAATTTTTAACAAAGAAAGGACAAATATATAGAGAACGTATAGAGTCAGACTGCATTTTAATTGCATGTATTGTATTTTACTGTATTATGTTGGTTTCCAAAGTGGTTGGAAAACGTTTGATTTCATTCCAGATGAAATGATAAAAAGTTGTATAAGAGTGTCTACGAATAAAAGTTTATTTTTCTTTCAAGTCCTTTGAATTTGACCATCAGTGATCAGTTGATTGACATGATATTACATATTAAAATAGTATCAATGTGCGTTGTATGAGATACAAAACTCAAATAAAGTCAAATGAGCTTTTCTCTGTCAACAAATTGTTTAACTTCTATGACCTGAATAACGAACGTTGGCAACTCTGCTCCAAACATTATGAATCTCATACTGGAAAAAATAAATGGTTTGAGCTGTTGGAGAGTTTAAAGTTGACATTTGGAGTCTGTTGGGATCAGCTGGAAGCATCATCTGACAACACAACAACACAATCCGCCTCTTTCAACGCCTCAGGCTAACTTTTAACTTGTAAGGAAAACGTCTTCAGAAAGTCATTTTCCCGAAGAGCCAAGACGATGATGCAGCTCGGAAGAATGAAGCGAAGGGCGACTGTGACCCAAACGCCCGACACGAATCCTTTAACACGTGTTGCCGCGGTGCTGAAATACAGAGAACAACAGACGAAACGCTGAACCACGCCTGCAAACATTTAGATGTCCTGAAAACTGCACCCACTTAACGAAGAACACGTTCCCGATGATCCCTCGTCCCGAATCTCTCCGTCCTTCAGAGCGAAATATCTCTTATATATATATATATATATATATATATTGCGGCGTGGTTTAATGGAGGGTCAAAGGCTGTGATGATTACAAAGGTACCACGCAGATGTGTGCCGAGAGCAGCTTTGATGAAGAGCCCGGCGGGGCGACCCCCCCCCCCCCCCCCAAAAAAAAGAACATAATGGCAGGTAGACAGGAATGGCTCGGAGGGGGGAAGAGGTGACTGGTCTCGTTCTCACAAGTGTGTCTTTTATGATGGGAAGGTTTAAAAAAGGGGCGCGACGGCGAGTCTCTGGGGGCAGTTAACAAGAGTGTGAAGTGACTGTCACCCTCGCCGGGCTCCTCACACACACCTCGTGGCCTCGGGGCGCCGCTCCTAATTGAAACAGGGAGCCCCTTCAGAGGGGGAAGCAACCGCCAGCGGACCGCCGAGAAACGTCTGGGTCTTCTCCGTCCTTTTCAACCTTTTTCCATCTTTCACACGAAAGGTTTGGCTTTTTTCATCTCACGTTGAGTAAAATGAGGAACTTCTTTCAATCGGCCGAGTCCATGCCGATCGATCCGGACGCAATTTGGGGACACGTGGGACACAAAATCAGAAGATCCTATGAACATCACATTGTGTGTCATTTATATGTACATAAAACATGATGATGTCGGGTTTTTTTTTTACATGGGATCACGTGAGGACTTTCTGGAGTCTGTAAGTTGCCAGAAAACTCATTTTTCTCAACTCAACTCAAGGGAAATAAGCCTGGATCGGTGAATTTGTCCATGTTACAACTTTTAGGACCAGGTTATATAAATGAGGACTATTCAAGAATAACAAAAAAAGGTCCCCAAAGTAACAGATGTCTCTTTTTGAATCATTAGCATCGTCACTGAGGTTGTAATTCCCCTGTTGGCCACTAAGTGCAATTAGCTTGAAAAAGCCGGCGCTTCTGGGGCTCGGGCCACTTCCCAGTTGTTTCATTAGACGGGTTAATTCTTAGCGCCGAGTGGTATTAAACTTTAACTCCTTTAACCCGCGGCAAGAAAGCACTCTTTGCCCTTTATGTTCTAGTTGGATAGGATTTTCTTTTTTTTTCCCCTTTTCTTCACGTACTAATAATGCATCAAGAATGCTGGAAAAAAAGATTCATCCCCGTAAACCCGAACGGGACTTCTAACCTTAATAAGGTTCATTACACGGCCCGTGAAAAACAGACAAGAGTGTGGGAAGTCACAAAAAAAGGTGTTCTTCATTTCCGTCCTGCTCCCCCAAATGAAATGGCCGAGATCAGAGAAGGTGTTCCATTGAAATATTAACACAGGTGATCAGAGAGCTTCTTCTGGACAAACTCTGCCGACACTCCTGCAACCTGCTCTGTGTTGCCGACTTGCTCGGTGATTCAAACCAGCAGGGGCCATAAAAAAAATAAATAAAAAAAAGCTCCCTTAATTTGCCACATGTGGCCAAGAGAGAAGAAAAGAGAGTGAAGGTGTCAAAGAGAAAAAAGGACTCAGAGTCTCCGAGCTGGTTCACACTGGACAGCGATGGATTGCGATTGGGCCCCGTTCACACCAAGGGGAGATAACGGCGAGGAAAGCCGGTGTGAGTCTCTCCAGGTGAACGCGACAGAGAAGAAGAGGGCGATAAGATCCTCAAGGCGAGAAGTTTCCCACAGAACAAACAGAAAGAAGAACAAAAAAGAAATAAAGGGACGTCGGTCGATGAGGGCTTTCTCATTTGTTTGAAATGGTTATGAATGAGTGAGGTGGCCCCACCCCACCCTCGACCCCACCCTCGACCCCCCCCCCCCCCCCCCCCCCCCCCCCCCCACCACCACCCACCCCTCTCTCCTCCAACCCCCTAGACGCCGGCCCTGCCCAGGATAAAATGCAGAAGAGGGGACTGGACCGACTGAGCGTGCAGGCCGTTCTTTTGCTGCTCCACTGCTCTGTGCTACAGCTGACACACACCGGCTGCCTGCAGACACACACACACACACACACACACACACACACCCTCTCTCCCCTCGCGTACTCGCTCGCTCGCTCACTCCGTCTCTTTCTCTCTCCCTTTCTCTCAGTGCCGCACGCGCGCACAAACGCACACACACACACGCACACACACACACGCACACGCGCACACGCACTCACGCAGTCAGTCACCAATCCTCCTCATTCAACCGCCTCTCAGCCACGGGTCAGCAGCTCAGACAGGCACCTTGTTCCTATTCAGCTGGGAAGAGAAGAGCATCGCAAGGTGCACACACACACACACACACACACACACACATGCGCATCTTCAAACCGCCCCAGGACTTTATCTGTGGCAACGGGAGAGAAGACCTGAGTGCGAGGACGAGCAGCGGCCACAGCGACAGGGAGCGGGACCAAAGAGGGACTTTTGAAGGTGGACCCATAAACGGGAGCGTCGGACGAGAAGGAGCGAAGATGACGACGGGAGCGGGCGCGTCGCTGTAGGGAGGCCTGCCGTCGACCCGAGGGTGGGTGCCACTTCCCTCCCTTCACTCCCTTCAGGACTCACCACCTTCCAACCATCCCTCCGCCGGGACATCTCCCCTCCCCCCCCCCACTCCCTCCCTCCCCCATCATCAGCATGCCTGCAGCCCGCACCAGGTGCACCTTGGGAGTCTGACCCACCATGTGCAGATGGACGCCATCCGCAGACCATCTCTGTCCTGAGCCCGCCCTCGGCACCACCACCACCACCACCAGCAGCACCACCACCACCACCAGCAGCACCACCAGCACCAGCAGCAGCACCAGCAGCAGCACCAGCAGCAGCAGCGGGCGACCTCTGTCCTTTCCCAGCGCAGCCTCCCTCTGCCTGGCATGCTTCAGCTTGCTGCTGGTCACCGCCGGGACGGCCCCGGGGGCCTGTCCTCCCGGGGCCGGGCGTGAGCCCCTCCAGGTGCTGGCGAGCGGCATCAACTGTTCGTGGACTTGGAAAGGCACGCTCGCAGTTACAATCACCTGGAGGGCGACGTCCGACTGCGGCGGCTCTACTCCGCCAACAAGTTCTTCCTCTGCATCGACAAGACGGGCAAGGTCGACGGCACGCGGCGAAAAAACTACGCGGACAGTAAGTGCACTTAAGTTCTGAGTTATCGGATGTGTGTTGAGGGTCACCGGGGAGGAGGCCCCCCCCCCCCGTGACGTCCTCGCTGCACGTATTTTTTATGGCCGGACTTTCTTATCTGTTGAGCTTTTATAGCGGTTGAATATTCTTTTGGCTTCGCGGCGGGCCGAGCTATTTGCGCGGTGTTTGGAGCTGGAGAGGCGCGTTGCTAGGTGGGGAATACCCTCGCGTGGATTTAGGCTCCTCGCGGGAGAGCCGGCAAAAGAAAAAGCTGACTGGAGGAAAAGACGCTCGAGCGTCAGTCGAGTCGCGCGAACTGATGCTCGAGGAAGAAAAAAAAAAAGAAAAGAAAGAATCGCTTCAGTTTCAACGGCGATTAACTTGTCAAAACAAAAAGTGCATCAATTGCAAGCAGCAGGTGGAAACGGAAACACGTTCCTCTGCGGAGGAGCACGCTCTGCTTCTCGCGTGTGTTGTTCGCGGGTTTCACTCGTCAGAAATAATTGTACTCAAAAGTGCAGCTTGCTATTTTACAACACGGAGCAATTTAATGTTTGGCCCTCGCATTCTTTCCGAGAATCCCGGTCGAGGCTGCGAGGCTCGTCCCCAGAATCACGCCTGCTGGCAGCAACATCCAACGTGAAGTCCTCGCCATTAAGTTAAGACACCCGCGGGTCGTTCTGCGGCCCGTGCGGCCCTACCGGTGCTTCGGAGGGGGGGGACACCCGAGAGGCCACCCGGCTCTCACGGCGGGCCGAGCCTCTTCGGCGCGTCCGTCAATGGCCGTCTTTCAGATGCCTGAGCGGGTCAGAGGGGCCAACTCCGGTCACGATCTGCCCCCCCCCCCCGTCCCCCTCCGTCCCCATTAGTCACCGGCTGACTGACGGGCTGGACCTCCGAGACGTTTATGCCTTACCGTCAATATTGCCTGACGGTAATATTTAGGCCTTTTTCTTTTCTTTTTTCTCGCACACAAGCGGGTGAGTCAGGGTTTTTCCGTGCGGGTACCGGGGGGGTGGAGGGGGGGGCGGGCGGAGAAGCTGCGGCGTCCGGCTAACAGGCCGGCCGCTCTGCTGCCACCGAGCTCCAAGCTGCCGGCTGGATGACATCTGTTAACCTGTCGGGAGTCGCCGAGTCTTTTAAAAACCACACGCGCGGCGAATTGAATTATTACTGTGTTAAAGGCTTCTGTAAGTCGGGACCAAATATCACTCCCAGGGGTTGCATGAATTTGACACCTCAGAGGTCACGCCGGGGGGTGTGGTAGCAATACCGGTTTGGCAACGTGAACCCTCACAAATGTTCGGCAAAAAGCTGCGGCGGAGGATTGTGACGCCGATGCCTTTTCTTGCGTTTTATTAATGCTTCAGTGTTCGCAGCGGCTCTCCTCAAACATAATGTCCTCATGCATTTTATCCGTCGTCCGCTCATTTCCTTTGGCGGAAAGAGCGGCTCTTTCTGCTCGCTCGCACACAGCGAGGGTGTGTTTGGGCCGAGCCGAGCGCAGCACCAAACCAGCGGCCGCGTTCGAGGCCGCGTTCGAGGCCTCGCTCCGTTTTCTGTTTGAGGCTTCCGTTCCCGCCGTCTCGCGAGGAGGTTTTCAATGAGGCTTAAAGGCCGCCGACCCGGTACGGGTTCTTGTCACCGATACGGTGGGCGCGCTGTGGATCGGTGCGGCGGGCCGAGCAGGAAGTTGTGCATATTTGATGAGCGCTGCAGCGGCCTTCTTCTTCGCACAGGAAACAGGGGTAATTTCTTGTTTGGGATGTTATTGATTCTTCTGAACCATTAGGTTCTATCCTACATATCAGCCACTTGCTCAAAGCCGTGTTTTGGCCCCCCCTCCTCTGTCCTCTGCGTCGCCCCCCCTCGCAGCTATAATGCGCCGACAGCTCTGCCCTGCTGCACCCGAGGAGGCCCTCGCCTCCATCCTACATGCGGGGCACTCAGTTTTTCCAGACCCAAGTCCCAGCTCCCTCTCAGGTGCAAAAACAGTTGGAATTAGTCAACAGGCTCTCAGCTAATTGAGGCTGGAAAATATTGGATCAATCCCAGAGGAGCAGGGCCATGGAACAGCTGAGGGAAGAGGCGAGAGACGAGAGCGCCGGACGGGGTCCAGGGGCGGTGGAGACAAATGCAGGACACAAAATGGTAAAATAAATGCATTTCGGTGTATCAGGCTGGGCTTTTAGAAACGCGCACCAGGGGACAGATGAGGGATTAAATGCACATGAACTCAAAACTTTCATCTGCAACAGACAGGAGAGGCCGAGCGCGTATCGGTTTCATCTCCAAATGGCAAAATACTCCACACACACACACACACACACACACTGAAGTTTCAGGTATCTGCTCCTGATTTGTTGACAGCATCAAATCGAGTTTTGCATTTACCGGCATGTCAACGCGATACGTTTAGAGGAAAACAACAGCGGGTTGAAATCAGACGAGACGCGCGACTCGGCTACTATCTGACCACGTATGGATCCAGCTACAACTTTCCTGCAAGTTCCCAAAAATAAGCAGCCGCAAGAAGAGACAATCGACAGTACTTTTGAGGGAGAGCGGAGGGGAGGGGAGGGGAGGGGAGGGGAGGCCCCGGGCGTGTTTTCCTTTTGACCTGTGGCAAAGCAGAAAATGACCGAGGGGGGAAAAAAAAACACGCCCAAGTGTTTACAAAAGCTCCAGCGGCAGGTACGCATCATATCCTGCCCCGGGTCATCGGTCATTGCCCGCTAATTCTAACAGCTGTGCGGCCGCGCCCAGCAACCGCTTTCATGGTTGTTTGCAACATCAAATCATAAAGCCGAGGGGAGCGGTAAGAACCGCAGAACCAAGGTGAAGGCGCGTCGTGCGCAGTCAAATTCAGTTCAGAGTTTTATGGTGTTAATTACCAACTGTTTTTGTTTTTTGGGCTGCGTAAATCTCATTTCATCTCATTTTAAAATGGACGGACTGTTAAATGTAGTGTGTGCGTGTGTGTGTGTGCAGGCTTCAAAGGTTTTGTGCAGCGTCCAGGTAGTGACGGCCCGTTCACCCTTAGGAAATAAGGTCACCGCGCCGCCGCGATCACAGGAGTCGGCGCTCTGCACAGCCCGGGCTGTGTTGTGTGTGACCAAATTTCCCTCGGTGTGCAACATCTTTGCCGTTTGATGGGAGAGTTTTTCCGAGTTCACCGCTGTATTTGCCTTGGACGGGAAACCACGGGAAGAAAATCTTCCACCCTTGCTGAAAAAATGTTGTGGAAATGACTGAAAGCGGCTCTGGACTGGGGGGGGAACTGGAATCTGGAATTGGGGAAAAGACGGGACGAGTGCTTCAGACAGCTGATTAAATCCACCTGCAGGGTTTGAGTAGTAAAACGGTGACGAACATTTGTTTACGCACCCGCAGTAGTAAAATTTCGAGTGAGGAAAAGTTCATATTTGGAAATGTGTTTGATTTATTGGTCAATTAAACTTAAGTGTGGGAGTAAATACGAGTGTAATCATACCTCATAGACGGGAAATAGCATCATTACGCCACCACTTGTGAACAGCACTATGCATTTGACTCAAGCTCTTGTTCGAAATATCGAAATATAATGAAAAATGTCTCTTTTACCTTGATCTTTCTGTTGTTTTTTTCCTGTAAAACCAAACAGTTTGCACATTTTTAGAGGTCCAATCAAATGCTCAAGATTGGATTTAAGTCCGTCCCTTCATTTCAAATTAATTTAAATCACAGATGGCCGATGAATAAAAAAAGCCCCTGTTATTTTTAAATAAAGTGACACTCTTTTGAATAAATCTCCATCCCGTGCGTTATCCGGGCTGACACACACACGCCGAGCGGGACGGACGTTACACAACGTCTGCCACTGTAACGGTGTTCACTCTGTCCCGGGCGGCATTCTGCATCCCGGGCCGCGACTCACCGTTAATTTCGCAGCTCGGAGTGGGGAAGCACCTGGCCGCAGGAAGCGCTTCGGTGCTTTCAATCGGGAGAATACACATGTTAATGAGGCCGGGAGAAGGGCGGCGCCCGGCCTCAGCATTGAGGTGGAAATTAAAGGCTAGAGGAGTGCTGGAGCGTTTCCCGTTGCTCATTAGACGTTATGTAAAGTCTCCTCCGGCTCGTCGCCACTGAGAGCGGCGCTGGTGGACACTTTTGATGCCAACGGGAGGGTGAAATCCCACGAAATCACGCATCTATTACCCCTTCAACGAGGACAGTGCGCGGCCTTCGGCCCGTGGGAGACAAATGGAAACCCGCCCTTTTGTCAGCCGTGTCTTGTATCAAGGGGCCGAAAGCTAAATAAAACATCGCTGGCACACGCGTGCGCGTTAAACGCGCACGTCCAATGCGCCTCACACACACACACACACACACACACAATAACCGTCCTGGGAACGTTGCAGGACAAGAGTGTCAGTGTCGCCCTAATTAGCCGAGGACCCCTGGTATCTGCCACCGGGGTTTGATATCATGAATGGGCTCCAGAAATGTAGCAATTAGTAGCTAACAACCTTTAGCAGTCTGGCTCCGGCTGCTCAGCGGGATTTACTGGGTTCATCAGCAGGTTTATTGAGTCTGACTTTGGCTCCTTTATGGCGTCTCACAGCTCTTGACATCCTGTGGGTGTGAAGGGAACACAAAGGAGACGACTTCACAGGGCCGCTGAGCAGCTACTCGGATCTGAAGGCCATTGATAAAAGGTGTTTGCACCGATGTTCTGAAAAGCTCCTTTAAGACGGAGAAAGGCGCTGGATACAAGGTTCAAGTATATCCATTCCTAAATACTTGAAGGACGAAATAGAGGCAGCGCCAGTAAGTGATTTAAGAGTGTAAAATTGAGGTTTGAAAGACTGAAAGAAATTGATACAAAAAAAAATTCCACAATAACAGAAAATGAACCATCCCTCAACAATACAAATGCTATATTTTAATTCACAATAAATCATGGTACAGCAATTTAACATTGCGAATGGTCGCAGACTAGGAGAAGGTTTTTTTAAATGGGG